GACCCGCAACTGATGATGCGTACATCCGGGCTGCGAGAGAGCTGTCGGGGCAGAGCGGAGACCATCATCAACTCCGAGAGCTTCGACGGAATACAGGACTGGGACACCTTCAAGCGGCAACTTAGGCGTAAATTCAGGGGAACATACAGTGCCTCTGATTTCTTCAAGGTGCTGTATGATCACGGAATGACTGAGAGGCAGGCTCCGATGGACTTCTTCCTTGAGGTGGAGGCGTCAGTCTTCCAAGGCTACCGGGACCACCGAGGAGCTGTAGGAGAGCCTTCTGAGCTGATCAGGCGGGTCTTCCTTGCTGGCTTACCATCCACCTTACGCGATCTCCTTGTCCTCAAGGATGATTGTTCGCCTATCCAGCTTGCCGAGACCGCCCAGAAGCTTTGGAACTCCAGGTATGGCATCAGGCACAGCAGTTCCAAACTCGCCACCAGTCTCCGAACAACATCCAAGAGGACGACTACCAGCTTCGACGTCGCACTCCAGACCGCCACCCGTACTCGAGACCGTTATGACCTGTTTCCTGTTGCCACTTCACCGCCACCTACTCAGTCGCCTCTTTCCTCACCACCAACATCACGGCGTAATGTTTGGTGCGAATACCATCGCAGTTCGACCCACAGCACCCGGGAATGCAGAGCTGCTGCCCGTCAGTCTTCACCACCAGCCTACTCTTGTTTCCGTTGTGGAAGGAGCGGTCACATGTCTCGTGAGTGCCCCTTTCCGAGAGGCCAGGAAGGAAGGGTTCCCAACTTCACTGGCGACTTTACAAGAGGGAACCCGCACACGCTCCATCACAGTCCAGACAGAGCCGGTCCAAACAACAGCAGCAGTGACTACCCCAGCAGTCGGCGGACGTCCAGTCGTGGCACTCAGTGTTGATGGGAAGACTCTTCTCTGCTTCATCGACACTGGGTCTCAGGTGACTTTAGTTAAGCCAAGTGCTTTAGAAGTCCTCGATCCGGCGAAGAAGCTCCGACATCATGCTTCTAGCAAGATCCTCCAAGGCGTCTCAAGG